AGTCGGGTGTGGAGCGGTAGCTGTGGGTGGGTGAGCGAGCCGGGAGCCCGTGGGTGGGCGAGCCCGGGAGGCTGTCGCTGGACGACAGCGAGCGGTTTAGCGACGACAGCGAGCGGCTAGTGTGAAGCAAGTTCGACTGCTTCGTGATCTTGCGGAAGAGGGAGCTGCGCTTCTTGCTGGGGAGTAAGGAGAGGGCCGTCTACCTTAGACCAAATTCACAACCCCCGGCTCCGCTTCAGCCCCTGGGACCGCCCACTCCTCTGGCCCCGCCTTCTCCAGCTACAACCCACCTATCAAAACCAAAAGAGCCTCCCACCTGGGTCCGCTTGGCTCCTCCCACCTATTTTTTGCTGGAGTCACCTATCAAAGCAGGACCAACCTCTTCTGGCTCCTCCCACCTCTCTAGTCCCGCCCTCTCCTGCTACAACTCACCAATCAGGGAGGGAAGAAGTTCACCTGACTCAGTTCAGTCAGGCTCCTCACTAGTAAATCCCCACTCGCGACTTGTCCAGGCCAAACCCACTAATCAAAATAGAACACTCTCCTGGCCCCACCTCCCTCTCCCAGCTCCTCCTACCGATTAGGGAAGAATTATTTCAGTTGGCCCAGCCTTGCCTGGCTTGCTCATTCCAGGTAGAAACCCCTTCTCCTAGCCCTCCCAGTGGACTACACACACTCAAAAGGACAAGGCCACCTCCTGGACTGTGCCCTCGCTAATCCATGTCTACTGGCCCCGCCCACCTGCCCAAGACACTACGCAACGCTCTTCTTCCAGCCCAGGTACCTGGCACTGTCCCGCCCGTGCTTCCCCCCCCCCCCCTCGTTTCTGCTCTTTACTCGGTGGCCCCCACACTTCTTTCTCCTGTCCACAGTTGTGGCCCGGCCCTCCCATCTTAGCCCTGCCCACTGTTCAAACCCTGGAGTGTTCCCCTGTGCCAGCTTGTATAGCCCCGCCTCCGCACTCGGCCCCACCCACCTCTCCTGGCCCTCCTTAGCCGAGGGTCTCCGGTTCCTCCGTGCCATTTTGGCCTTGTAGCTGCTGCGCCTGGCGGGGCCGATGCGAATGGAGGTATTTTCGAAGGGTGTTGTGGTCACTGCCACCTTGTTGCCACTCTGGGGGAAGAAGGGAGGCAAATGTTCAGGCAGCTCCAGCTCCCAGGACCCCCGCTCCCCTCTCCCCAGCGCGCTACCTCCCTGGCACTCACCTTAAGGATCAGCTCCACGACCTCAGGATGCACCATGCCATGCACAGGCTCCCCGTTCACGTGGGTGATGAGGTCCCCCGCACAGAGCCCTGCCTCCTGGGCTGGGCCCCCCTCTTCCACGTGCTGGGGACAGGGCGCCACACGGTGCAGGGTTAACAGGATCAGTAACCAGGAAGCTCCCTAAGCGTATGTGCCCACGCCTAGCTCTGCATTTACTTGAATCCTTGTAACACCTTATGAAATAGTAATTACTCTCCCCAGTTTACAACCGAAGAAACTGGAGCTCAGAGGGGGAAGGGCACGGAAGGTCATAGGAATCTCAGCCAGGCGGCCTGGATCCGGAATGAACTGTCCCTCATTTCTGGGGGTTAAAGGGGAGCTTCTCTCCCTCACCCCCCATCTTGGAACACAGACCCCACCCATGAGTGCTCACCCAGACAATGTGATGGACACTGTAGACGTCTGAGTCACCCATGTAGACGCGGATGGCTCGCAGTGTGAAGCCGTACTTCTTGCCAGAGCGTTGGATGGTGATAGGGGAGCGGAGCCCACTGACAGCCGGTGAGTAGTCCCGGCTGGGTGAGGAGTCCCTCGAGGACGGGTTGGAGGAGAGAGATCGTGGAGACATGGGGCTGGCCAGGGGTGAGCTTCCATGAGGGTCCACTGCAGACACAGAACCATGGTCAGAGGTCAAGGCCAGCGATCACAGCTCTCCCAGTATCTGCTCCTCCCACCTCCTTAGGCAAAGACCCAGAGCTCTCATTGGTCCACCCCAGTGCCAATCACTGTGCACAGGAAAAATGCAGCGTCTTCATTGGCCTGCCCTGGCACAAATGGGGGCAGGCCCTCCCTGCCAGGTGGGGCCCAGCATCACCTGCAGGAATCATGACAGACAAGGCAGTGGCAGAGGCTGACTTGATGACTTTGCCCCCGGTTCGAGAAGGCCGCTTCTCTACTGCTGGGTCCCCTGACAGCTGCTGATGCCGAGCCCGGCGCAGAACCAGGTCATTGGTGGCCCTCTGGCCGGATGGGTCCCCATCCTTTGAAGGTGGGCAGAGGTCACCTGGGCGTGGTTGGTCCGCTGCAACAGAGCAGGTGGGTGAGGAGGCAGTCCAAGGTCAGGGCCTCTGGCCTGTGTTCACTCTGCCTGGAATGCTTTTCCCACGTCTCACCCTTGTGGGAATGTCAGTTTCCTGGGAGCAGGTGACATGCACCCGGCACAACCCCTGGTAAACAGAAGTGCTCAAATGCGTTGTTGACTGAGAGCGTGGAATGCAGGGTACCCCGTTCCTCAGGCTGATGAGAACCCAGGCCGGAAACAGTACCAGGCTTACTGAATGCTCAATATATGGCCGCGGGGGAGCTGGGGAAGGCGGCAGGAGGGGGCACTCACTGGCTTCGGAGTCCCCGCCACTGGCAGAGCCATCCCCTTGAGCTGTCTCTTTGGGGACCCGTGCGTCCAGTGAGCCTGGGGGGTCAGAGGTGGGCCTGGCAGACCTGCGCAGCTGGGTCTCATCCTCATCCTCTTGGGGGGCGCTGAAGCGGCTGGGCTCCAGCAGCGCCGAGAACCGGCGGCGCGCACCCAGGGGCGGACTAGCCTCCCCCTCCAGGAAGCTGGCCTCCGATGCCGAGAAGCGCTTGCTGCTGAAAGGGGGGCGTCGTCAGAGGCGACAGGCCTCTTCATTCCCGCTCCCCAAACCTAGCCCTGCCCCTGCTCACATCTCTGGGGAGCCCCCTCTCCAGGTCTTCTCGCGCAGGGTCAGGCTACCCAGGCCCTCCCGCTTGCCGGCCACCTTCTCCTCTAGACCCTTGGCACTCGGCTCCCGCTTGCTGCCCCCCGCTGCCGCCACCGGGGTCTTGGGCTCATGCTGCGACAGCTGCTCCATACTGCTATACACCTGCAAGGGAGGGCGAGCAGTGGTGAGGGGCACGCTCCCGAACCAATGGGCTTCCTGCTACTGGGCACACCCCGCCCATCTCTGAATTGTCGCCCAACCACCTACAAATCTGCAGCTCAGACCCCACCACACATATTTAAGCCCTTAGCCAGTGGTTCTCAACCTTCCTAATGCCGCGACCCTTTAATACAGGTCCTCATGTTGTGGTGACACCCGACCATAAAATTATTTTCGTTGCTACTTCATAACTGTAATTTTGCTACTGTTATGAATTGTAATGTAAATATCTGATATGCTATAGGTGTTTTCCGATGGTCGCGACCCACAGGTTGAGAACCGCTGCCTTAGACCCTGCCCATAATCTTTTAAAAAAATATGTTTTTATTGATTTCAGAGAGGCTCCTCCTGTAGAGATAGAAACATCAACGATGAGAGAGAATCACCGATTGGCCACCTCCTGCATGCTCCCCGCTGGGGGGGATCGAGCCCACAACCCAGGCATGTGCCCTTGGCCGGAATCAAACCTGGGACCTTTTAGTCCGCAGGCCGACGCTCTATCCACCGAGCCAAACCGGCTAGGGCAATCCTACTCATATCTTAACGAATTTGCCCTCTTTCGTGCCCCACCTTCCCAGCCAATCATATGTACCCCAATCTGGGCTCTACACACCACTACACGCTGCTCCTCCAGGCGAGACCTCGTGCACCTTTGCCCCGCTCCCACTGCTCATCCTCTCCACCCCAAGGTCCTGACCCCGCCTCATCTAGACCTAGCTCCGCCCCACTGTGAGTCCTCAGTACCACCGCTGTCCAGATTCCTGTTAGATTCCACCCAATGCCAAAGGCCCTCCCGTACACCCCCAGGCCCTGTCACTCTCAGAATCCCGCCCCCTCAGTAACTTCCCGGCCCACCTCCAATTCCGTCCTCATCCTGCTAGGAGAAAAAGATACCCTCCCCTCCGCCCCCGCCCAAGCCCCGCCTCCCGACCTCGCCCCACCCTCCCGGGTCCGGCCCCACCCTAACCCAGCCTGGCTCACCTTGCTGAAGCGCGGGGAGCAGGAGGAAAACTGGCGGATTTCCACAGGCTCCTCCTCCGTGGTGTCATCCTCATCGTAGGAGTTCACGTGGTGATACCTATCTGAGCGGGCTGGGAATGGGGGGTGGACCGTGACCACTCCTCAGGGCTGCAGGCGCCGCCATGGCCCCGTCCCAATCTAGAATCTGATTCTGGCCCTGCTTCCAGGCTGGGATTCTGCCCAACTCTCAGAGGCTCCATTAGCCCAGCGTCCAGAGGCCACACCCGCAGACCCCATCTATGGCCCAGCCCCCCTCCCCTCCAGCCAGCCCGTGCCCTGCCTCCTTCTAGGTCCTAGCACTGCCCAGTAGCCCAGGCCCAACTCCAGAACTCACTGCTGTCCAGGCCCCACCCTCCTTTCCTACCAACTGCTCAGACTGAGCCTCACCCCTATGCCAGGCCATCCCTCTCCTCTGTCTGGGCGGCGGGTCTCCTACCCAGCTGGGCTCCAGCCCAGGCCTTGCCCCATGGTCCCTCTCACCAGCTTCCACCCCCTCTCCCAGCTCACTGTCGAAGTAGCTGGTGTCATCCTCGGACTCCAGGTGGGGGATGAACTCTGCCTTCTGCCTCAGCAGTCCCGTCCAGTCCAGGTCTCGAAAGAAACTGTGCTGCTTCACCTCAAAGGCACCCCCTGGAAAGGAAGGAGTGGATGGGGTCCCGGAGAGAATCCCTGCCACAGCTTAGGGCCAGCTCCAGAGCCCAGCCTCCCACCCCCGTCTCCTACTCCGGGGCCACAGCACTTGGAGCCCAGCCCTTAGCTTCTCGGTTCAGCAGACCCCTTACCTGCCCCAAGCCGGACCAGGGGGTTGGTCTGCAGGAGGCTGGATATCAGGAGCTGGGCGTCTGTGGGCAGGGCTTCATCTCCCTCGGGCCACAGGATGTCATCTGCAGAGCAAGGTGGGGGGGGGTCACTTTTGGGTCCCAAAGGCCCTGGGTCTGCCCATGTCCCCATGCCCCCACCTGCCACCAAGGAGGCACGCACCGCTGATGACCTGTCCAAACAGCTCTTCAGGCGTGTCTCCGAAGAAGGGCACACAGCCCACCAGGAACTCGTAGAGGATGATGCCCATGGCCCACCAGTCCACCGGTTTGCCATAGCCCTGGCGCAGGATGACCTCGGGCGCGATGTACTCTGGGGTTCCGCACACCTAGGGGCAGGCGGTCAGCCTGCACTCTGGCCACAGGAGGGGCCTCGGAGGGGGGCGGCACTCCCCACCCCACCCTGAGCCCCGAAGCCCTGCTGGCTCCTTCCCCGCACAGTGACCCCCACAGCCACACACACCTGTTTGTCCAGGAACTCCCGGGCATCCTTCTCGATATGGCCTTCATACAGGTTGGTGGTGAGGCTCATGAGCCCCATTTTGGAGAGGCCAAAATCCGTGAGTTTGATGTGGCCCATGGAGGTGATGAGGAGGCTGCAAACACAAGCAGGGGTCTCAGAGGTGAGGCTTGCCCACCTCCCTCCTGGCCCTTCCATGCCAGCGCCTACAGAGGGGCAGAGGGGTGGGGGTGACGGGAAAAGTCAAGGCTCACTTGTCAGGCTTGAGGTCTCGGTGCACAATGCCGTAGTTGTGTAAATACTCAAGTGCCAGCACCGTCTCAGCAAAGTACATGCGGGCCATCTCCACGGGCAGCGCCCCGATGTTCTTCAGCAGGGTAGCACAGTCCCCGCCTGCGTGTGAAGGAGGCCCATGTAAAGAGGGAAGCACCCCTGCCCCAGGGTTGTGCACTCCACATGCACGACAGCACCAAGTCCCCACCTCACATGCCCCTATTTTGCAGCGAAGGAAAACTGAAGTACAGAGAGGCCTCATTCTCCCGGGCCCCACAGGGAGTGCCCTCTACCAGGCTCCTCCTGTCTTCTATATAAATGTTTAATATATTTTTAAATCTTCACCTGAGGACAGGTTCATTGACCTTTTCAGAGAGAGAGAGATAGGAAGGGAGGGAGGGAGGAAGGGAGGGAGGGAAACATGGATGGGGCTGCCTCTCTGGAGCATCCCCACACTGGGCCTGGGGAGCGAGCCTGCAACGAAGATTATGTGCCCTGACACCTCACTATTTCAAGGCCTGTCTAAAGGGAAGCCCACACATGGGAGAGCAGAGCCAAGAAATCGAGAGATTCCTGATGACATGGTTTGAGCATCTGGATACAGACATTTCTGAAGGCAACATGGATGTTTTGCTCACGAATCACTAAATGTCTTTCTTTTTTTTTTTAGCCAGAAAACTGATGGAATGGAGCCTAGGAATCTGCATCTGGCCACAACCCCAGGTAATACTGACACACACTTACACTGAGAACAAAGCTGGGTTGACTTGCAAATGAGACTTTGAGGCTGGGCCTTGTTCAGGAGGCCCGAGAATGCACACTTACTGTGTGCTCAACCCATCAAAGATCCCGATTCCACCCACTTCTCTCCTCTGCATGACCTCAGACCCATGCAATTGCCTCCACCTTGGTCTCCCTCTTCTAACCTCCACACAGCAGTTAAATAAATAGCATTAAAACATAAGTCAGACCATGTCAACTTTGCTTAAAACCCTCCAGTGGCCGCCTGTTGCATTTGGCATGAAACCCAATGCAGTCCAGGCCCTGCCAGGCCCTGCAGGCTTAACCCCTTACCTCTCCATCCTTATCTATCCCCACCCTCCCGCTCACTTGCTCACTTGACTCCAGCTCCATTGCTGCTCCTCAAAACAGCGATTTTCAACCTTTTTCATCTCATGGCACACATAAACTAATAACTAAAATTCTTCAGCACACCAAAAAAATGTCTATTTTTGCCAATCTGACAAATACAAATAGGTATAATTTTGATTCATTCACACCAAACAGCCATTGTTGTTCTGGCTGTAGTCATTTTTTTTATTTGACAATCTAACAGAAAAAAAAAAAAAGAGGTCAGTGCCAGTGACTAAGTCAGGTATTGCATGTTTTGAAAATTCTTGTGGCACCAGCTGAAAATTGCTACCTCAAAACCCAGACGCCTTCTCACCTAACAGACCTTGTGCTTGGGGGTCCCTCTTCCAGGAAGAGTGCAGGCCTCAGAGAGGCCCCTGCCCACCTATGTCCCTATGGCCTCCTTAAGCCTCAAGGTCCTCATGACTGTCCTCACTCTATGAAATGACCTTATTGTCTTTGCTTGTTTTGTTTATTGTCTGTCTCCCCAGAATATAATCTCCATGAGAGGGGAGTGTGCCTGTCTGGCCCCCACTGTGCCACCAGCACCTAGCACAGCACGTGCATAAGGGAGGCAACGAGGGGACATCTGCTGAATGAATGGATCGCTGACTGAGGTTTAGGAGTGGCATAACTGCAGCCCCAGAAGATCACGTGTGTATCCTAATAAGCGTAGTATGTGTGGGTTTGGGCAATGATATAATAGTATTTGGATAACTATCAGCATGAGTGGTTGGATAAACATGAAAAACATATACATTGGTGGTTGGATGAATGGCTAGATGCCTGGATAAACTGATGGATGAATGGTAGATGAATGTGTGGATAGAGATAGCTAGATGAGATGGCTGCTAGAATGGAGATTTGGGTGAATAATAAAAATACAGATAGTAAATGGATGGATGGATGTTGGATTAATAAATAGATAAATCGGTATTGGTAGATGGATGGATGGTGTGTAAGTGGGTGAATAAATTGATGAGTGAATAAATGGCCAGACATATAAAAAGATGGATGAATGAAAAATAGATGTGCAACACAGAGTGGACCTAATATATAACTATGGACTTCAGTTAATAATGTATCAATATTGGTTCATAAATTATAACAACTGTACTACACGAATGCAAGATGTAAATAATAGGGAGACTGGAGGAAAGGGGTATGTGGGAACTCAATGTACTTTCTAATTACTTAGTCTGGAAGCCTAAAACTGCTCTAAAAAATGAAGTCTGTTAATTTTTTTAAAAAATAGATGTATAATGGCCCTAGCCAGTTTGGCTCAGTGGGTAGAGCATCAGCCTGAGGACCGAAGGGTCCAGGGTTTGATTCCGGTCAAGGGCACGTGTCTCATATCTCGGTTGCAGGCTCCTCCCTGGCCTGGTACCTGGTCAGTGCACGTGCAGGAGGCAACCAACCGATGTGTTTCTCTCACGTCAGTATTTCCCTCTGTCTTCCCCTCTCTCTTCCACTCTCTCTAAAAAACCAATGGAAAAATATCCACGGGTGAGGATTAAAAATAAAATAGATGTATAATGTATAAACAGATGTATGGGTGGAAAAACAGATGGGTTAGCGAATGAATAGATGGAAGGATGGATGGATAAATGGACAATTGGATGGCTGTTTCTATATTGAATAAAATGAAAACAGATCAACTAAATAGATGGCTGGATAGAAATGAACAGATGGAATGGATGGTCAATGACTGGATGGATGAATAGGTGGATTATCAATATGGTGCCTGGGGCTCAGGCAGGCCACTCAGCAGCCCTGACCAGCGTGAATCTCCCTTTTCCCTACAGCTCTGCAGGCAGCCACACCTTCCACGTACTCCATGACCATGCAGAGGTGGCGCCGGGTCTCAAAGGAGCAGAACATGCTGACCACAAAGGGGTTCTCGGCAAAGGTGAGGATGTCGCGCTCCACAAACGCCTGCTGGATCTGGTTGCGCAGGATCAGGTTCTGCTTGTTGATCTTTTTCATGGCGAAGCGCTGCCTCGTCTCCCGGTGCCGCACCAGGTAGACAGCGCTGCAGGGGGAGAGAGCGAGGACCGGCCATCACCTCGAGACACCCGGCCTTCGCTACCCTCCCCCTGCCAGAGCCCCAGGTGGCTCACCCGTAAGCACCATTGCTAATGAGTTTGATGGTGTCGAAGTCATTCTCGCCAGGCGGTTTCTTAGCCTTGGTGGAGCTGCTGCGGCCCTGAAGGGGGAAGGTGAGACCACCACCATCATCATGGTAAGATGGAGACTCTTGTTACCCCATTAGCCATGGGGAAACCGAGGCACGGTGGGGATGCATCCTTCATCCAAGTGCCACAGTGAGGAAGCAACAAAATCAGGCCTTGAACCCAAGATGGTCTGACTTTGAAGCTATATTCCCAACTTTTTTCCATTAGGAAAGAGGCCTACAAAATAATCACCCTAATATAGAAAGAACTCCCAGAAATCCATAACTAGAAGCCTAGCAATTGAAGAGAAAAAATAGGCAAGATTGCCGAAACCGGTTTGGCTCAGTGGATAGAGCGTCGGCCTGCAGACTGAAAGGTCCCGGGTTCGATTCCGGTCAAGGGCACGTACGTTGGTTGCGGGCACATCCCCAGTGGGAGATGTGCAGGAGGCGGCTGGTCGATGTTTCTCTCTCATCGATGTTTCTAACTCTCTATCCCTCTCCCTTCCTCTCTGTAAAAAATCAATAAAATATATTTAAAAAAAAAAAGAACAAAAAAAAAATAAAAATAAAATAGACTTTATTTCTTAAAAAAAAAAAATAGGCAAGATCTGTGAACTAGAATTTAGAGTTCTTACCATATGAAAAGATGCTCAACCTCACATATAATGTCAGAGGGCAAATTAAAACTACCCAAGATACCATTTTTCACCTAGCAGATTGGCAAAAGGAAAAAAAAAGAAAGAAAACAATCCAAAAGGCTGACACACTTTGTGGGTAAAGTTGTGGGGAAACAGGTACTTTTATACCTTGCTTTTGGGAGAATAAATTGGTATAACCCCCGTGGAAGGTACTTTGGTGTATATAAAATTATAAATGTACATTCCCTTTGATCCAGCAATTTCACTTTTGAAATAATTCTACAGATAGGCTTGCATATGTGAAAATGACATATGTACTATCTTGCTCATTGCAAGTATTAGAAACAATTGACATGTTCATCGATAGGAAATTGGTTCAATAAACACATAATGGGCATTTAAATAAAGGAATATTATGCACCTGTTAAAAAGAATGAGAAATTGCCCAGCCAGCGTGGCTCAGTGGTTGAGCATTATTGACCTATGAACTAGGAGGTCAAGGTTTGATTCCCGGTCAAAGCTTGGGATTGAGGGCTCAATTCCCAGTAGGAGGTGTGCAGGAGGCAGCTGATCAATAATTCTCTCTCATCATTGATGTTTTTATCTCTCTCTCTCCCACTTCCTTTCCTCTCTGAAATCAATAAAAATATTTTTTTTAAAAATTAGAAATCTATCAGTATATAGATTCAGAAACTTCTCCCAAGTATTTTATTGGGGGGCAGGGGGAAGCAAGTAATAATATGTACTATATACTTTTGTATAAAAAAAAAAAAGTGGTAAAATAGAACTATCCTATATAATAAAAGGCTAATATGCAAATCGACAGAACGGTGGAACGACCGGTTGTGATGATGCGCACTGACCACCAGGGGGTAGGTACTCGATGCAGGAGCTGCCCCCCTGATGGTCAGTGCGCTCCCACAGGGGAGTGCCACTCAGCCAGCAGCCAGGCTCGCGGCTGGCGAGTGCAGTGGCAGTGGCAGGAGTCTCTCCCACCTCCGCAGTAGCGCTAAGGATGTCCAAGTGATAGCTTAAGGGAGCGGGCCTTAAGCCGTCAGTTAGACATCCCCCTGGACTGTGAGAGGGCACAGGCCAGGCTGAGGGACCCTCCCCGAGTGTATGAATTTCGTGCACTGGGCCTCTAGTATAATCATATTTGGGAAGTACTCAGCAACACATATACTAATAATATTTGGGGGCACATAGGGCAGTAAAGGACAAGGGTGAATCTAAGATTTTTCACTGTATACCTTTTTAGAAAATTATTTTTATTTTTCTTAGGGACAAAGAGATTATGAACATAAATATTACACAAAAAAGATCTATGAGATTAAAAAAATAATGAGCCCTGGCCAGTGTGGCTCAGTTGGTTAGTATAGTCCTGTGCACTGACAGGTCAACAGTTCAATTCCTGGTCAGAGCAAATTCCCAGTGTGGGTTTGATCCTGGTCAAGGTGCATGCTCGAGGCAACTGATTGATGTTTCTCTCTCACATCAATGTTTCTCTCTCTCTCCCCCCCCTTTTTCTCTCTCTCTCAATCAATAAAAACATATTTTTTAAAAATATTGAACCGATATGCTCCTAAGAATGTAGCCTAAACCTTCCTTGGGGCAGTCTCACAGACAACAGCTGTGAATAGCCAAACACAGGGCATCATCAAAAGCCCAGCGATCAGAATGGCGGAACGACCAGAACAACCAGAACAATTGGTGGCTATGATGCGTACTGTGGAAGCCAACTGGCCTGATCTGAACCTCGATCGCCCCCCTGCTGGCCTGGCCCTGAATGGGCCCCCAACACCCTGATCGGGGGTGGGGCCAGCCGGCCAACCTCCCGCAGCCCCTCCTCCCTGCTGGCCTGGCCCAATAGGCCCCCATTGGGGTGGGCCGGCCAGACCCCACCATGCATGAATTTGTGCACCAGGCCTCTAGTGTACTATAAGTTTAGTGGCTTCACGCAGAAATTGGTGGGAGCATGGGCTTCTGAGGCCTATAACCCTAAGGGATTAAAGCCTGTGGTTTCCACAGAAGCACCGCCACAACAACATCTGATTTTACTGCATATGATTATGCCTGGAAAAACAAAGTTCCACAACTGCAGAAAACTTTCCAGAAATCTATGGTGTGCCCATCCACCTAAAACGATGCCTGCCTGACCAAATGTTCACCAGACCACCATGGCATGACAGCGGGAGGCCTCATCTCCCTCTTCACAGCCCAGAAACAAATGAGTTAGGCTGCAAAGAACTGGTTTCCTTTTGGGCATAAAACCTTTGAATTTTTATGGTTTCTGTAAAAAAACTTTTTTACTTGAATGGCTTACTTAACATTTTGCAAGGAAAAATAAAGATAATAAGACAATATTTTGGTTTATTTATGACAAGCACCTGGCCTGAAAGAGCTCATTGGACAATTAAAACTAATGTTCAAAGAAATGCTGCAGTTCTTCGAGTTCATGCAGCTGATTTCCCTGGAGGCTGCATATAGGCTTATTTATTTATTTTTTTGTTAATCCTCACCTGAGGATATTTTTCCATTGATTTTTAGAGAGAGTGGAAGGAAGGGGGAGACACAGAGAGAGAGACAGAAATATCGACTGGTTGCCACCTGCATGCATCCCAACCTGGGGCGGGGATCAAACCTGCAACAAAAGTATGTGCCCTTGACCAGAATCGAACCTGGGACCCTGCAGTCCACAGGCCAACGCTCTATCCACTGAGCCAAACTAGCTAGGGCTGCATATGGGCTTATTAATAGCAGTTTGTGCTGAGGTCCTTAGGGACTCATGGTGGCATTTTTGAGCATGGGGTGCAGAAGCCTTTCTGGATTTGGATGTGTCTGAAGAAGGAAGACGAAAGCCAAGGCCAGGTGCATGAGACAAGGGGTTTGAGTTTGCAGTTACCTTGGGGAGTTTTCCATCTTGCAGTAAAATGTTCATAGAAATTACTGGCAGCATGCCTCTATTCATTGGATAGTTTGTTTTAAAGGGATATTGCCTCATCTCAGATCTTTAGTGAAATTTTATGTGTAATTATTATGTATTTATTCCACATGGGAACAGAACACCTGTTTCATGTTGCATTTTAGACTAATGTCTATTTTATTAATGCAGCTGTGATACAAAGTCTCCTTTACCTTTTAAAAATGTTACGACTTTTAAGTTATGATTTTGGTTGTGGAATAAATACATGAATGAAAAAACACAAGGTAGCCTAAAAATATCTCACACAAAAACTGACAGGATTATAGGAAGAAATAGCTCAAAACAAGGATTTAACACATATCTCAGAAACTATGAGATCAATCAGGAAAAAGAAAAAAAAAAGAATAGGGAGATGGAAGATTTGAATCACTCAATTAACAAGTTTGATTAAATGGAATTACGTAGAATCCTACAAACAACAATCAAAGATAAATACCTTTTTAGAGTTTTAGACTTTTGAGTGATGTCATTCCATTACCTATTCAAAAAATTAAACAAATGGCATGTATAGTGAGATTCTTTTAAATATATATATATTTACATATATATAGGAAAGGTGTGTGTGTGTGTGTGTGTGTGTGTGTGTGTGTTAATAGATACAATCTGAAACAAAAGTTAGAAACTCAAATGCCTTCAGGGGTGAGGCAGGCCAAGTGGGGGCCATGGGTCACTGGGGGAAGGTACCCCATATCATAGGGCAGCCCCCACTCAGTGCCAACTGGTCTCACCATAGTGTTGTTAGAACTTCTGATTTTTTTTCAAAAGGAGGTCCAACCCCAGATTTGAGTCAAAAATCTTCTGATTTCTATATTTTGCTTCAAAGTTTTGAAAAACACTAGACAGTTTAGATGAAGCACACGCATGGCCGTTATGGCAGATAGTGGCTCTCCTGGCAGTGGGGTTGTGGCATATTTTACTACACTGAGCTCTTAACACAGAGAGGCACTCAACTCACTCAAAACCTCATGTGTGGTTCCTCACTAAATTAGACCTAGAATTACCATATCGCCCAGCAATTCCACCGCTAGGTATATACCAAAAGAATTGAAACAGTTGTTCAAGACAAATACTTGTACACAAATGTTCTATTTACACAACAGCCAAAAAATGGAAGCAACCCAAGTGCCCACCAGTGGACAATGGATAAACAAATATGGTCTATCCATACAATGAAATATTGTTCAGTCACAAAAAGGAATGAAGCACTGATTCATGCTACAAATGAATGAAACTTGAAAACACGTTGCCAGACACAAAAGCCCACAGAGTGAAAAATTCCATGTATGTGAGGTGTTCAGAACAAGCGTATCCATAAAGACAGAAAGCAGGTCAGTGATTGCCATGGGCCAGGGGCGGGGTGATGGGGAATAACTGCCTAGTGGGTATACAGTGGGGCCTTGACTTACGAGTTTAATTCGTTCCGTGACAGAGCTCGTAACTCAAATTACTCGTATGTCAAATCAAGAAGTGAACGAGTGAGACATGTGATGCTGGGCTGATGTTGTGGCTTTCACTGTGACGTTCGCTGCGCCAACTAGCGGTGGGGTATCTGAAGCTGGCTCGTAACCCGAATTTTAGCTCGCAACTCAAAGCAAAAAATCAGCCGAGAGACGGCTCGTATCTCGAAAAACTCGTTAGTCAGGACACTCGTAAGTCAAGGCCCCACTGTAGTTTCCTTTTTGTGCGATGAAAATCCTCCAGGACTAGATAGAAGTGATGGCTGCACAAGTTGTAAATGTACTAAATACACGGAATTGTTCATTTAAATTTTTTTTTAAATATGGAACGCTTCACGAATTTGCGTGTCATCCTTGCGCAGGGGCCATGCTAATCTTCTCTGTATCGTTCCAATTTTAGTATATGTGCTGCCAAAGCGAGCACTAAAAATGTTATGTTATGTGTAATTTACCATAAAAAGAAAAAGGCCCATGGAGGAAGACCTATTATTAACCCATTTGCCAAATGGGGAAACTGAGGCTCGGAGCAGAGGCCAGATCTACCCAGCCTGCGGGCAGGGAGCCAGAGGTGAACCTTGTCTATCCAGCCAGAACCAGAGTGCTGACTGCTGCCGCCCGGCCTTACCTCAGACAGGTCGTCCTGCTCAGGCGTGTTGGAGCCGCCACTGTCCTGTTCCTCCAGATGCACCACGTCTAGGAAGGGACCGAGAGTGAGTGGAGGCCAGGGTCCCAGTGGATTCCCTCCGGCCCCTGTGCCCCCAGCTGTCACCTGGAAAAGGGTCCCGGGTGAGGCCCAGCTGGCGGATGATGTAACGAGGGATGTCTGTCTTGACCAGGTGCCCTTCCTTGGCGTGGCCCTCCGCTGCTTCTAGCAAGTGGTAGAACTCCTCGGGGTTGAATTCCTGAGGCAGGGCAGGGGCGGGCTCGCGGTGGGCTCGGAGGGGCCCCCGCCAGCCCCCTCCCCTCTCCCAGCCCCCTCACCAGGCATTCCAGCAGCCTCGCAGGGCGAGAGATGATAATGAGCAGTCTCTTCACCAACTGGGTGACGAAGGCCACCTCCAAGCTCTCAGAACGTTCATAAGCCTGGGAAGGGGAGCACAAAATGTGGTTGGCCTGGGGTGGGATTATGGCAAATTTTACACAAGCCCTGCCTCAGCCAGGCCCCTCGCCCAATCCTACTGGCTACACACTGCTGCTGTTGTCCCATTTTATAGGTGAGAACACTGAGGCACAGACCTCACAGTAAAAATAACAATCACTGTTGTTACAGCAGACGCTGTCCAAAAACCTTCACTCATTCAATTCATGTTCAAAACAGCCCTATAATGTGAGCTGAGTCAGCATCCCTCTGACTGACAGGCTCTCCCCTCAGATCCCTGAGTGGCTCTCTACTTCTTCAGGTTGCCACTCGGTTGTCACCTCCATGCAACTGAGTGGCACTGGGAACACAGAAAGATTCCTGCCTTCCTGGGGTTCAGATCCTAGGATGGGAGATGGACAGGAACATGAAAACAAACAAACCAAAGAAGTCAATGATTTCAGCTGATGCTTAAGGCTATGAAGCAAATAGAACAGGGCAACCTGCCACTCGGTTGTCACCTCCATGCAACTGAGTGGCACTGGGAACACAGAGGAAGATTCCTGCCTTCCTGGGGTTCAGATCCTAGGGTGGGAGATGGGCAGGAACATGAAAACAAACAAACCAAGGAAGTCAATGATTTCAGCTGATTGCTTAAGGCTATGAAGCAAATGGAACAGGGCAACTGGATGGAGTTCATCTCCCCACCCCAATCTAAAATTGCACCCCACTTCCTGGCAGCACCTCAATCACCATGACCCTATTCCTTGTTCTATCACATGAATACCCTTCAAACAGCTCACATATGAACTTTTCTATCATGCCCAGCAGGGTGAGGGGAAGAGGCACGCACCTTGGCACCAAAAACCTTACTCTTTGAGATCCCTAACACTTTAATGCAATATTTGAAAAATCAAAATGAATGCATAAAATGCGTGACAAGCAAAAGAGCAAAATTTAAATAAGGACAGGATGCAACAAGTGCCGTGCACGGGCATGTTGGAGCTTGAAGCAAAAGGGAAGGTACGTGACAATCTATGCCTGCTTTCAAAATCTTTAATGGTTTTTATAAAAATGTTAGTATTGATAAGTTTGTTTCCACTAAAACCAGGAAAGTAAAAGTATAACAAATTCTGGTTTAATTATAAATAAAATATTTAACCTAAAATCATGTGAAGGGGTGTGGAGGTGCAGGAGACAGCCGATCAGTGATTCTCTCTCATCATTGATGTTTCTCTCTCCCTTTTTTTTTTAAAGATTTTATTGATTTTTTAAAGAGAGGAAGGGAGAGGGATAGAAAGTTAGAAACATCTATGAGAGAGAAACATCGATCAGCTGCCTCCTGCACACCCCCCACTGGG